GATGTTGTGGTGTACCATCGAGTTGCATTAAACAAATCGCTAATTCATTCACGAAAACGGAAGAAAAGTAATGGAAATTGTCTTCCGCATAATTGCAGGTTTTCTCGCACTGGTATGAATTTTAGAGAACATATGCTTTGGATATGAAGTTCCGCATACCAACAATTTTACAATTCCACCATACTGTGAAATCTTTGAAGAAGTGGTGGCCGTTAAAACCTTTTAGCTAAAATCTCTTTGCAAGCCATCCATCTATCGACCTACATTAAAATATCATCAACTGTCTGGTTTGAAATGCATTCTCTAGTGTAACTGAAGAAAATTCCATGGAAACAGGCTCCCAAACGCTTTCGTCGTATCCTCACACAAAATTATATCCTGTTTATTTGGCCTTTAATAGCCTTTGACCTTGACATTCTTGTATTTTAAATTTGAGAATATACAAAATAGTTTTAATTATTCCCCGCAAAGAAACTCAAGAGTTACTGATTAACATTGGGGACTGGTGATTTATTGAATTTGCTGTTAATCTGAATTCGTCCTTTATTATGAAACATACAGTGGTAATAAGCAAGGAAGCATTTCATTAATAACCTCATAAACTTTTCATGCCGACTATTAGCAAAGTAATGATACATATGAAAAGGAAATTTGTGGCATGAAAATTTTTTTCTTCTTCGAAAGTTACTTTTGATCCTGAATTTTCATGATGTCAGCGCTTTAATTTTACTGATGGGTGTTAGCTGCATTAAAATCTTTGCCAAGTACTCGTCTCTAATCTCCCACGAGTAATAAGAAGAACGAAGGTGTGTGTGTGTTGAGATTACGGGACAAACAGTTGCAACCTACAGCAACCAAATTTAACGCAAATATACTTTGGAGTGTGAGTATATTTTTTGAAATTTTATTTACAATTTCGATCAATTAAAAATGAAGCGAAATTTTGATATTTTGTGTTGATAACTCGCGAAAATATCGTAGCACAAACATGGTTTTTACATCAGTTTCCTATTCGGAAAAATACCATACCAATTATACAGGATTGCCTGTGCGATTTTCTCCCTAATTTTGGCATTTTTAAATTTTTTAATTATGATTTGTGATAATATATTTCATTGTTGTAAAGAAATCCAAACCGTGTTCATTGTTTATATAATACTAGCAGTACGCGCACGGCGTTGCCCGTGGAATCGGGACTTCAACAAAATAAAAAAAAAGCCCACATACAATTACATAAATGAAAGTTTTAAAAACGAAATCAAAACAGAAATATATATATTATTGAGTTGGTCCGCCTCTTTTTCCTCTCGACCGAGTACCGTTAAAACCAAACAATGTTAAAAAATTACATCTGATATTTATTACACCGCAAGCAAAGTATGAAAGGCAAAGAAATAAGTTAAGACACGCTTAAAAATAATAATCGAAGTCATCGAGTAAATAAATCATCTCCTCGCAGAACGCGAAAGTAATGACGTCACCCTGGCCCGTCAGCCAATGAAATTGCCCGCAACGTTCCTGAGAGCTGTCGCGGGCGGAAGCTTCCCTAGAGGAAAAATATCGTTCAACTACCAGGAAAAAATTAATTTAAAAAAAAACGAAAAAAGATATTTTAACCATTCTTGTTTTAAATCCGACAGAACCGTTGCAGTTATAAGCTGAAAAATTTTCAAAATGATATCTTTATTAGAACATCGGATGCAAGAGTTTTAAGGATTCCAGAACATTTTATTTTTGAAAAGTGACTATTTTTAAAAAAATTCCCAAAATTCAGTAAATTGCGTTAGAAATTCGAAACTAACTTCGTTAGAATGGAAATCGTCTGCTCTTTCCAATGGTTTATCTATTTTTTCGTACAATTATTCAAAACCATTCTATTAAGAAATTAGTGCAAAAAATCAACCAAAACAACACAAAACATAAAATAAAAAATTTTCTAGATTAAATTTTAAAATTTCGGCTTCGAGGTGCATTGAGTCACCATTACGACTACCTGTGTGCCAAATTTCATAGCTGTAAGTGCGATAGATTCGTCTGGACATCGCAGACACACACACACACACACATTGCCCTTTATAAGTATAGATTTAATCGCGTGTCTTTCCCATTGTTGAAAACTAAGGTTGAACACGTTCACGCCGGTGCGTACCACCGGTGGCTCGCACTTAGATATCCCACAAGGCGGCGCGTGCCACCGGTGGCTCGCACTTGAATATTTCATCAGGCGGTGCGTACCATCAAAAATTTAGCTCATTTAGTGACTAGAAAAAATTTCCATATAATTGAAAATTAAAAAAATGGAAATTTAACGCATATTAATTCAAAAAGTAGGATTTATTTTATTTTAGTAAAAAAAATGAAGAGCAGCACTGGTTATCACTGCGGTAGAATTTCATTTTTCACTTCAGTTCGGCGCCGCCCGATAAAGCAAATTAGAGTAGCCGCCCATGGGAGAGAAACACGAATTGCAGCGCCGTCCGGCGTGAACCTGTTAAGGTATAAAGAGATATCATTTACTTTCCACAAGCTCAAAAACTTTAATGTAAAGCAGGTTTCCATTGAAAATCTATTTTTCAGTTTTAATGTAGTTGGAGTTAAAGCTTAACCTCAGAAGCGAGCAACACTTTTTACTGTTGGTCCATTTCTAGACATTTCTCTTCTTTTCCTTCACAATATTTGATGTATAAGAAAATATATTATCATGCTACTAGCTTGAAATTTTGCCCTTTAAACGCAAGATGAGAAGAATATAAAAAGCAAACTTTTGGCCCAGAGCAACCATATTCCGCAAAGATACACTTTTGAGGGCAACCATGACTTTTGGAAATAGGTTTGAGTGGGTTCTTTTTTTTTAAAAACCGAAATTAAATGTTTGATAAATCAAAAATTAATCGAAATTTTAGCTTTTTTGTGATTGGTTTGGAAAACAAGATTGAACAGAAAAGAATTTACACCATCTTAAAATTTAGTAAGATAGCATTTTCGATGTTACCAAAATAAAGTTCGTACAATTTCCCCCCCCCCTTTTTATCATGTTTCAATTCAGTCAACTTAACCTTGAATTAGTAATAGTTTCACACCAAAAACGATTCACTTATCATTTCCGATTTTACAATAAATGTCAATTTTAGATGATGTCGCAGACCTGTAATGAAATCAATTCGGACTCACTCGTCAAATGAATTTCGCCAATTTGACATTAGAATCCACTACGCAATTTGCAGGTTTAATTTATTTTAGCGTCCCGTTTTGAAGCTACACGATGGCTATTTTGGGACGGAATTTGTAATTTTGAACCACAGTCAGACGACGAGGACGACACCTCCCTTTTACCACATCAGTGGGAAGATAGATTTAACGACACCAGCCTTGTATACACGGCGGATATTTTATATGGAATCGAGTCTCGAAACTGTTACCCTCCGGTACCGAAGCCGAATCACTGTCACTGTAGTCCCATCTTTCAGAAGAAAGGGGAATTAGAAATTACAGCGCATTGTAAGGCTAGTTAGGTTAGGTTATATTAACGTCCCGTTTTGAAGCAACGCGAGGGCTATTTAGGGACGAACCTCGTAATTTTGAACCGCGGTCAGATGACGAGGGCGACACCTTAGCTGACACCCCCCTCTCCAAGCTTATTAATTTATGTATTTTTAATTCTATGTTTGGTACAGTTTTTATTTGTGTGTGTTTTGTTTTTATAGTATGGGGTTTCAATCTTTGACTTATTTATATATTTGATTTTTACCACTTTTTCAGTGTTTATTTTTCAATACTTATCTATCTATTTTTTATATATTTTTACTGTTCCTTGCTTGCCCGAGCAGTAAATCAAGCTATTCTCTCCCCACCGAGGTGGGTCGAACCATGTTTATATTCCCAGCTCTCTTGTATTTAAAACTAGCAGTGCGCGCACGGCGATGCCCGTGGAATCAGGACTTCAACAAAATAAAAAAAAAATCGCCCACAATGACACGAAAAAGTTTTCAAAACAAAAGATATACATTATAGATTTCCCCGCTTATTTTTTCCGCGATAATAACATGTAGAAAAACAGTACAGAGTACATTAATCCAAAACAATATAAAAAAATTGTTGCCCGTGGAATCAGGACTTCAACAAAATGAAAAAAAATTCTTAGAACATGACAGAAAGCTCCGAAGGTTATGACGTCACCTGACCCTTCATCCAATCAAATTGAAAGCTGCGTTCCGAAAGACTGTCGCTGAAGAAATTTCGCTCGACAAATGTAACTTTCATCTGCCCAGGAATAATTTAATTTAAAAAAAACGGGAAAAGATATTTTAACCGTTCTTGCTTTAAATCAGAGAGAACCGTTCTAGTTATAAGCTGAAAAAAATTGAAAATAATAGTGTTATTAGAAAGTCGGATGCAACAAATTTAAAAACAAAACTAACATTTAGATGGTGAAACTGACTATTTTTTAAAAAATTCTCAAAATTCAGTAAATTACGTTAGAAATTCAAAACTAACTTCATTAGAACGGAAATCGCGTGCTCTTTCCGATGGTCTACCTATTTTTGTCGTACAATTATTCGAAACCATTCTATTGAGAAATTAGTGCGAAAAATCAACCAAAACAACACAAAACATTAAATAAAAAAATTTCTAGATTAAAATTTCGGCTTCGAGGTGCATTCAGTCACCATTACGACTACCTGTGTACCAAATTTCATGGCTGTAAGTGCGATAGATTCGTCTGGACATCGCAGACAAACACACACACACAAACATTGCCTTTTATAAGTATAGATTACTGGCACTGTTCGGGAAATGCCTGTAGCATCTTATCGTACCCAATTAATCCCGTCCTCCACATGCTGGTGGAGCGGCTCTCTCCCCGCTGGTCCTCTGCCGGCCTTACACCCTTCTTGGGTAGGCCGGGCCAGTGCGGGTATTTTTGCGCCACACCAAAGGCAGAACGTTTAGCCACTACGTATGATTCAGCGTGCAGCAGGCCCCATACATGGCGGATCTTAAGTGGAATCAGGTTTCGAACCTGCGACCCTCCGGTCCCGAGATCGAGACCTTACCACTAGGCCTCCGCGGCCTTTCGCATTGTAAGGCAGCGTGTAGTTAGAAGACAGGTGGATTTCAAAGTCTTTCATACAACTGTGGCGAAGTATTTACTGACTCCACTGGGGAAGTAGACGGGCAGAATGAACAGAACACTTGTAAATCTTTTCAAACAGGATAGATGAGATGCCTATCACAGTTTGATGCTTAAAAATACTTTGATGTGGAAATCATAAAGATCAACTATGCTTAAATTATTTAATTAAAATTTAACACTGCCAATATTCCCAGCGGCCAATCTGGTCGCTAAAAGTGGCCATTTCAGAATAAGAGTAAAACACTTATCTTTATATTTCACGTTCGTATCTAGATTAGGTGCACTAATTTTCAAAGGGAAAAAACATACAATCAAGAATGAGATCATTCATGTTACGTCACTATTGCACAAGATAAATGATATTCCTCATGCCATCTAACATATATCTCAACATTGCCTTGCGTTGTGTTGTAATACCACGTCCTTTTTCCTCCTGCAAGATGCATAGTCGATTCCAAATTAAGTTGGGGTAGAGAAGTTTATGTGTGCCACATGACCACAAATTGACTCCATTTCCTTTCACTTTCGGTAAGGTTGCACAAAGGAGTAACTTTTTGCTGAGGAAATTTTTTACATTTTGTATTTTCTTTCATACCTAGTTAACTGAAACAGCGATGAATAGATGACAGTGTTTGTTGACTAACACGATATCAGAAGTGTGAGCACTGCGTACTGTGATATTTTGAGCGAAAAAAACATGCACTCTTAATTTGTAACTTTTAAAATTAAGTGAATAAGTAACTATTTGCAACTTTTAAAACTAACTAAAGAAGTGACTTTTAAAATAGATGATACAGGACTGAAATTGAAATTAGCAAATTTTTGTAATCGTATAGAATAAAACACGGAATCTGCCCCACATAATTAACTCATAAAAATGAAGCCTTCATAGATTTTATGTAAATTGTGTGGCCATAGAACAAAATGAAACGTTTGCGAGAGTGAATGAGGGTAGAAAGTAACCAGAGGGAGTGGTCTCCCCTAAACTTTCTAGTATACTCCTTAACACATATAGAGAAAAAATAAGCTAAAAGGCAGTAAAACGCTCCAAGCGTCCCTAACACAGGTGGAGAGAAAAAATAAGCGAAACTGTATACCGCGAGTTTTACGCAGCAAGGCAGAAGTAAAATGAAGAAGCCGGAGCGATTGCGCAATAGGGCTGCGTAAGATAAAGAAAACCGAATTTGCAATTTGAACGCCTTTTTTTTAACCGATTGAACAGAAATCTACAATTAAGATTAGAAGGCCACATACCAAATTTTATTTATCTAAGTCATTATGTTAAGGATTATACAGACAGTCAACCCTTCGACGGGTTTGGCCCAAACTTTTATGCGGACCTACATTCCCGATGATAAAACTGTGTACCAAATTTTATCCATTTAGCTATTTAAGTTTTTGAGTTATCGTCTTCACATGAACGCGGACAGACCCATATACGGATTCTGTCCAAAATTTGTGATAGAAACCTACATATTATGTGTAAAGATCACATCCCAAATTTCATCCCTGTAGATCTAACAGTTTTTAAGTTATCATGTTCACAGAGAGGCAGACAGACATAATTCCAAAATTGTGTTTTTCGGACTCAGGGAGGTCTAAAACGTGGAGATTCATCAAAATCTCGAGTTCGAATTTTTTTTTGTCGATTGCAATACTTTCTCTTTGTATACTTCGTATACGAGAAAGTAAGAACGGCGTTCTGAGAAATTTTGTTGTGTGCATTTAGTTCATTTAATGTTACTAGAATGATATATGTTATGATTTGAAAGTTTCATTTAGTCATTTTACCAGTTACTCCATTCTAATGTAAGTAACTTTAGTGTTTAATTGTTTCCTAAAATTCCAATCTTATAAAATTAAAAAACAAACAAACAAACATAAATTCTTTAAATTTTTCGCTTATTTCGTAAACTGAAATTTGTATTGTTATTAAAATTCATGAAAATCTCGAATACAACAGATGAATTCGTGCAATTTAAGCCCTAATTTAATTTTCGTAATGCTTCCACAAAACATTCATCTTCGTGAATATAAAAATTACGATTTATTATTTTTCTAATTAAAATTAACATCGCCCTGTCGTTAAATGATTTTAAATGCATTATTATCAAATTAATTAATTTATCTTTTGCCAAAAGAATATACATGTATCACTTGCCTGCTTAAACTTTGCACTTACTTATTAACTTTGCAAGATAAAAAATTATTTTTATTAAGAAATGCGTTGCGATTTTATGAAAAATATTTTGCATGATCAAGAAATTTGAGACTAGTTTTCTTCTTCACTGACGTTTTAGAAATGATTAGTAGGTAGGTTATATTCCCTCCCCCCCTTCTAGTGGTAAGGTCTCTACCTCGGGACCGGAGGGTCGCAGGTTCGAAACCCGATTCCACTGAAGATCCGCCGTGTATGGGGCCCGTCGCACGCTAAATCATACGTAGTGGCCAAACGTCCTCCCGCTGGTGTGGCGTGGAGGCTTGGAGAGGGGGGATGCCAGCTCAGGCGTTGTCCTCGTCATCCGGCCGCGGTTCAAAATTACGAGGTCCGTCCCTAAATAGCCCTCGTGTTGCTTCAAAAACGGGACGTTAATATAACCTAACCTTTCTAAAGAACTCATTTATGATTAACTACAAACTAAGTCGCTATTAAGTGGACGAATTATCTGGCAGCGACAGTAAATATTGGTTTCAAAAACTGATAGGGGGGGGGGTCGAAGAATACATATGTACAACAACAATGTAATAAAAGTAAAATACTGTTAATTAATATTGTTAAATTCTGAACTGAATTCTTATATACCGGATTATGTTGACGCTACTTTTAGCTAACATATTACTTAACCCTTAAAAGACCGATTTTTAAAAAAATGATTTTAAGATCGTTTTCTGACTTTCATTTCTTGAATAAAAAATAGGAAAATACTTAAAATCCTATTTTGTTTTAAGTATGGTTTATGTCTAAAACACAGTTTGTTATCAACCGACAACACTGGGCATATTTCAGAAAAAAAATTCCTCGATAAAATTCTATAATGTGAAACACAGATGAATTTTAATAAATATAATACGGATAAGGAATTTCTTTCATCGTTGTAGAATAAAATATGGTAATCTCAAGCGTACAAACAAAGCTAAAAAGATGCAACCTGAAGTGAAAAACATCAATTTATTTCTATTTGTTTATAAGCACTCTGGATGCCATCTATATATTGTAAATTGATTTAATAAAAATGTCAGTATGTATCCTATAGGCAACAGCAGGCATTAGAGCTTCAGTCTTATTCTCAAGATTTTAGAAGGCAAAATTGGGCATGTCGCTTAAAGGCAACACTGGGCTTTTAAGGATTAATATCACCACTTACGCATCAAACTGGTTATGCAATTTATAAAACTATATACAATTTAGAAATGAAAAGCACTTAATTGCGTTTTTAGTCACATATTTCATAAAATGCAATATCACAAACTGAAAAATGAAAGTATCGGATAGCATTATTTGAATTTAAGTATGTTTTCGCAGGAATTGTTCCTCGGTTCTTATACAAGTGTTGTTTCAATTTTAGCTTCTGTCTCTCTCTTTCTTTGCATGCTGTTCATTTATCAGAACACTGTTTTGGACCAAATACCATAATTATTACATGGCGTATGCTACTTTGCAGAGAATTTATTCACACTATTTTTCGTCAGTAAACCCAAAACTGAACTGGGGAGATGGCTCAAAATATGACTGGCATAAATAACTACGGGATATTTTTTTAAATCTTTTTTTTTACACCCCATAAATCGCTCGACGTCACTCTTGGAGTCAGTCTCGCAGATATGAAAATTCATTAGGCTGTCAGAGGAAGAAATGAGAGGAAAAATGAGATTTGACAAACACCGGGCATGCGAGGCCCTCTTTTTACGCCCCTAGATCAGCCCCGGGGCAAGGAAAAACTACTACGACGACAAATTTTTTTAATGACTGCCTCCCTCTTCCCTCCCTTCAGCAACACCTGTCGGGGTCATTACGACACGAGGAAGCAGGGGGGTGCAGGAACTCATCCTATAATACGGGAACGTCAAAAGATGAAATTATGAGGAGGGTGAGGTAAGGGCTACATCAACAACAAAATGTGGAACTTTCCACCAGCCAATGAGAATGAGAGAGCACGCGATTGCTGCTTTCGGTAACGGTCCGCACAGCATTATCGATCGTCTGCGTTCAGACGATATCCAGGCTGCCATTCGGATAGCACGGGCCCGCAGCAGCGTTCCAAGCAAAAAGGGTGTCCCGGCACCCAATGGACAGTTAGTTAGTTTTTGATGTTTACTCCATTTCTTTTTTCGGGAAAGGATGCCGGTTGCTTTTCAATTTTCTGCTCCCGCGAGGTATTTGTTTTTTTCTCCTGCCGAATCACAGCCGAACGGAGATCTGGAATAAGATGATCCGGAAGATATTCGAAACAGAAGACTGTCGGATTTGAGGGTGAGTGGACACTTTGTTTTTGAAACGTTGTAGATAAGTAAGAGTGTTGGGTGGGATAGGGGCATATGCTCTCAGCGTATGTCAAGATGTGTCAGGTTTTATTCGTTTAATTCTTTTCTTTCCCTGTTTGTTTATCGTTTGCAGCAGTGAAACGTTCCTTCGTGATGTGAATAGTTCGGAATATTGGTTTTTCGAATCGAAGATCGTGCGTGCATTAATTCCAATATGGTGTTTTGTTTTCAAACCGTTTCGTGAAAGCGAGAAGCCTTTGCTGTAAATTACTGCCCTTTAAATGTTTTATTACTCAACATAAGCATTTTGTATCGCCTGAAAATTTATCTATAAATTAATTTTATTATTAATTTCAGTCATATTTAAAATAAAATGAACTAAAAGGGCTTGGTGATTTAAAGAATAAAATTATATTTCGTGAAATTAGATGAAGAAGGAAAAACAAAATTTA